TGCTGCTGCTGCTGCTGCTGCTGCTGCTGTTGTTGCTGTTGATGATGGTGTGTATGATGGTGATGAGGCGTCCAGATTCCTGGCATCGGCTGAGAAGCCACCGGAGGTCCTAGAGTCGCTGGAGGAGGTGGCGTCGCCGGCAGAGGCGGCGGACTCGGACTGTCAGGCTCCTCGTCGACAGCCAGACCCATGTGTCTTCTGACCTTCCTCTGAGCCTTGCGTCTCCTGAAATCTCCTCGCCTGAAGTCCTCCAGGTTCGCCGGGTGTATGGCCCAATAGTGGCCCTTTCCGTTGGCGCTTCTGCCCGACTTTACGAAACAGTCGTTCAAAGATAGATTGTGTCTTATCGAGTTCCTCCAGCCTGGCCCACGCGTTCTAAAGTAAGGATAGTGCTCCAATATGTGCTGGTAGATGTCCGACAGCACGAGTTTCTTCTCCGGCGAGGAGAGGATCGCCATGGCAATCAGACCGATGTAACTGTGTTGGGGTTTCGGCTCCTCCGGTATCCGCTGGTGATGAGGATGGAGAAGAGCCATGGACAGAGCTAATCGACTGGGATATCCGGCGGCGGCCGCTGCTGCCGGATATAGCGGTAGCGGCGCAGGAAACCCTGGGCCCATTCCTAGGTGAGTTGGAGCGCTAGACGGAGGGTGGCCTACGCCTGGATGCTGAGGGTGCAACTGCTGAGCCAGCCTCAGTCTCTCGGCCATTGCGTAATGATACAATTGCAGTCTGTAGTGTTCCAACCCAGGCAAGAAGCCTGTCATCGGGTTACCTAGACCGACGGCCAGCGGCTCCTTTGCCGGCGGCGGGCTCTCGTTGCTGCACATGCTGCTTTCTCTCTCTCTCTCTCTCTCTCTCTCTCTCTCGCTCTCACTCTCTCTCTCACGCTCTCTCTCTCTCTCTCTCTCTCTCTCTCTCGTGAAACCGATTCACTTGCACATGAACTTCACGATCTTCATTCAGTGTCTTTGCAAACAACAAGGAATTTTCTAATCTGTATCACTGATACGATACGCAGAGTTGCAAGCGCGAGCGAATGCTTGCTCGGTTCGAGCCTCGACGAAGCACGCTACCGAGGCGAGGTAGCGAAGAAACGAAATTAGAGATCGGCACGGAGAGTGGATCGATCGCGGCCGATGTTTTCCAAAGGTTTTCAGGCTGTTTGTCACGATGCGCTCCGAGCGACCGACTGGTCATGATTTACGACTCGGCCGTCTGCCAGGAGAGCACCTCCACCCGATCGCTTCTCCCCACTTGCCGCCAGGGTAGAAACGACCAAGCTCCGCCCGTTTACCCGGAACAGAGTGCAGGCTTCGGGTACCGAGACCAGAACCCGTGAAACCATCCTCCAACCAATAAGCACGGAGAGGACGGTCGAAGATGGAACCCTCTGCCATCCGCCACACCTACCACCATGGATATTGATCCTGAGCTTGGTACCTAACGCGGGGGCGGCGGTTGCGCGACTAGCCGATGCTGCCCGGTTCTCTTATCTCTCGATACGAGAGCTCGATATCATTGCCGGCGATCGGAGACCGGCACCGAGAAACGGGACGACGTGTTTCGGAGTAGTGAAGGACTCGAGCGTTTACGGAGCAACGCGAGCTGTGTATTTCTC